CAGTTATTTTTTAGGATAACTGTATATTAATAGTAATTTTAACATACAAATATAGTCAATTGTGCTATGAATGATAGTTGCATATACTACTTAAGAATCTTTAGTTTTTCTTAATTATTTTTTGTTATTATTATCACATAAATAAAATACTAAATTAATTTTCAAGAATAATTGTATTCATTATGTAATTGCGGTTACATTTATTGAACAATAATGTTTATTTTATAGTAATAATGAACATAAAAATGGACTTCCTAATCATAATTATTTTATTGTGCAATTATAGTACCATAAATATTACTTTTCTCTCAGTGTATCTATGCTATTTTCAAATATTTATCCAGGATTAAATTTTACGTGTGAGTGATGGAAAATTATCCCTTTCTTGCATCATTCATTTGAATTTTTCATCTCCAGCATGCGTGTATGTTTTGAGATGAGATTCAGCAACGAATCGTTCGAATCGTTAAAAATACGTATATGGGCTTTGAATTTTGTCGGATAATAATCGATTTAATAATTTTTAGTTTATTTTTAAATTAAAATTTTGTTTTTTATATAGTAATGTTTATATTAAGTAATTTATTCTAGTTTCATAATATTCGAGCTTTTTAAAATCAAAATGTTGTTATTTTAAAGATTTTTTAAATTTAGATTTATTGTTAGTCGAATATTTATATTTTTAATTTCGAATAAACGCGACATTTATTCGTATATATAACGGAATTATTATTATTATTATTGATAATTGCTCATATTAATATTTAGTCAATTATATTCATTAATATGATGGCCCCTTCGCGACGCGTTCGTGTTTCGCGCATCGTATAAAAGTGTAAAATCTTACGCTTATTATTGCTGGCGATATTAATTGGCAGCAGTCGGTAGCAAAAAGGAATATTTCTTTTTGCTGTCGATTTCTGGCGTATGAAGCTAGAATATTGGCCAGGAGTAACAAAAGATGGCCAGAGAAGAAACAAGAGATCTATATAAAATAGATAGGTTCGGTTGTGTAACATCAATCTAAATTTTTGAAATTTATAAAAATGAACTGAATATTCGGGAGGGCAACTCGCAAATTGCGATTTCTTATATTGTTTATTTAAATATAAAAATAACCAATAAATAACATGGCTATTGAGAGCCAGTGCGAATAATCAAGCGCAAAGTTTTGTAGATTTTTTAATCTACAGAATTTATAAAAAATCTAAATTAATCTACTTGATTATCCGCTCTAACTCTCATTAGCCCTGTTATTTGTTAATTTTATTGTATTTTAAAGATTGAATTAATGTCTGTTTTTATTATTATCACTTATTTGTTGCTTTTATTTATTTAATATGGTCGCAATTAGGTTATCCGTTGAATTAATCAGTACGCGGTAAGACATGATTGGGCATTAGCTGTTATGCTCAGCAAAGAAAGTTTTGTAACTATTGTAAAATTCTTTATATTATTACTAATGGTTGATTAGTTTATACATTTATATCCATAAGGAAGAACCACCTAAAGCAAGAACCATTCATATTGAAGAATACAAAAGATTTTATGACATTTGCAAAGCTGCTTTCTCTGCTGAACGTAATCTTTAATATATTATTGTATATTCACGGTGTTATTACATATTTATAAAATAATATAGGAATAAGGATTCAAAAACAAAGTATCGACAAAAGTGAATAGGCAAATGATACTATAATTGATTTGTAAGCAAAGGAACCATCTTCATTAGGAAATCGCAAAAAATGAATATTGTTGTGTAGTTTCCATTTCTTCAGACAACAATATTGTGGCATTTTGCTGTTTTAGGAAAATGTTTTCATGTCTTCTCTCAGGTTTTTTTCTGATACAAGATACTAGAAGAGAAAATAAATATGTTAAACAAGGACTCTCTCTCTTTAAAATACAAAAAACAAATTAAATCTGAGCTAATGAGATTCAACGAGCGGAGGTGCGCAATAAAATTTTACAAATAAATTTGTTAATCCATACGAAGTGTTAATGTCATCTTTATTTGTAAAATTTTATTGCGCACCTCCGCTCGCGCTGACTCTCATTAGCCAAGAACTTGATTCAGAAAGTCAGTGTTGTGTATCTTGAAATGAGCAAAATATACTTAAAAATTATAAACAGTGAAATTGTAAACATTTTAGTAAACATGGAAGAAATCCATATTAATGAATTTGCTCACTTTTGTAATTTTCACTTCATTTTAAAATACATAATTAATCCTCAGAATTATAACAGAGAAAAAATGATTAAATAATTAAATGTAACATTAAAAAAACACATAACATACAAATAACACGATATGGATTAATAATCAAAAAACTATAGGGTCCGGCAAAATGATCTCCCACATTTTTAAATTATTAAAGATTAAAATGTGGGAGATCATTTTGCCGGGCCCTGTATAATTTCTGTCTCTAATTTATATGCGCAAAATACCTATTCAATTCCCGAAAGTATCTGATTTCAGGTGCGCGCGGAAACAAATTCTAACTATGAAAAAGATTTCTATCATAAAATTGGAAATAAATATAAAAAATCATTAAATGTAACTGATAAATGTGCTTGATAATCTGTGTTTGATTGCACATGTTCATGACATTCATATCATATAAAATATATAAGTAAACAATATATATAAAATATATCCTCTAAATTTATTAAATATAAATTAATTAATACTAGTAACAATTTATATATTTACATATTTATCTATGTATTTATTTATTGGTGAAATAAAAAATATAAAGATAAATTGTGCAAAATGTACATAGTTTTATATAACATATATTTAATAATTTTTTTTTGTCAAACATATAAGTTTCAGAAATCTTTATTTATTAAAATTTTTAATTTTTTAATTTAAAAAAAAGTCTTCTTTACGTATATAAATAATTTATGATTACATTTTGGATAAAATTTTGTAATTGATAATTATAAATTATAAATTAATTAATTATGCCATTTATATTATAACAATTTTAAACAGCAAAATGTTTAAATATTGCAAAGTGTATACTGTAGGAAAAAAAAATTTAATTTTTTTATTAATAATAAATAAAATAATCATAGAGTTCAAAACAGACTAAATGATTACAAATAAGTATTACATCAAAATATTATATCTTTATTACTCATATATAAATGTGGTATATAATATGTACACATATATATAGATTCATGTAAATTATTACATTTTTTAAAGCTAGGTACATAGATGTTTTGTGCAGTAAAATTCGAAACATTCTCCCCTGATTTCGTTTAAATGTCCGATCTTTATATATTGGCAACTAAGCCCTTGTAAAGTCCTGCAGCAAGATAGTTTCATACTGCGATAGGTACAAATGTAAAAGTCAAAATGCGGTCAGAAGAGCGAAACGAATCGAAAATATATTGTTGGTCGATTATTTAATCACTATATTCATTTTTCTTCAAGGCACATTTGAAATATAATCAGTACATTCTTTTGCAACTATGGAGAAATCTATTAACGTTACATTCTTCTTGCCATTTTACAAAGAGTTCACCAAGTTACATCGTAAATAAAATTAGAGTTTTATATACACATATATATAGAAAGAGAAAAAAATATAGTTTTATATATGTTACAGAGAGAAAAAGAAAATATGAGAAAAGAGAAAAAAAAAAGAAAAAAAAGAATCATTAGAAAAATATAAAATATTAAAAACTCCTTTTAGCCGAAATCACAGACAAGTCTCTTACTTTCTCAAACAGAGCACAAAGTCGCATTCTCTGGTCTTAACGCTAAATATACATATATGTATATATAATAAGATATATATATAGCTGATATAAATATTATAAATATACATTCACATATTCAGGTAGTCTTATGACTCTATTACATGCATACACGAATACACGCGTATTTCAATACATAGAGATAATTATCTAACATGCACTCGTGTATATACCTGAAAATCTATAAACATTTATTAAACTTACACGTGTAAGCGCATGTATATTATCGTGTATGCATGTATAACATGTAAATAGTGGTCGCACATATATCCATATTTTGATTATACCCTTTTTGATCAAGTCATATCGTAAAGGATATTTCACATCTCGTATCCATATATAATACTGCACCTATACCTATGTACATCGAATGCTGATAGAATATAATAAAAAGTAAATTAAAATATATTTTCGTTTCTATACATTATCGGAAATGAAACGAAAGTAAGTTCTTCTCGAGTTACACTTTGCGCCTAATGGAATCACTGCAGTCATGCTAATTTGCGTATGCGACTTTATATAAAAAAGGCAACGAGTTAAGAAAATAAGATACATATAAATTTTCTGTAAAAAAATAGAATAATGTACAAATCCTTGCATATTTTTACATCTCGTTCTATTAATTCAATCCATCTTCGTATAGTCATAGGCGTCACAGCTTCGCATTATTTAATCAGATTTATTGTTGTGGCATTAATATGATTCATAAAATTTTCGCGCATGAAGATTTTAAGGAGAACTAGATCAGAGAAGGCATAGATAATTAAAAATATTATCTTACTTCTAATTATCAAACTTAATAATACATCATAAAATACTTACTATTAAAATGATTAATTATACTAGTTAACTTATAACTGTATTATATACATACAACTAGGAGAAAGATAAATAAAGTAAATATCTTTTCCAAACCAATAATTAAAAAATGACTTTTTACATAATAAAAAAGGACCTTTACCTTCCTTTTTGATAAAACTGTTATTTCAAATAAAAAGAATACGACCCTCATATACTGAATAATGGAATAATCTATAGTCAATAGCAGTCGTAATATTAATATTTGTAATAGTAAAGATTAACAATAAAGATTAACAATAATCATTATGTTATCGATACCATAATAGTATCATTTATAACAGCACTTGAAAAAGTATGTTTTAGTAGTCCTGGTAATAAGAAATTGCATCGAGAAAACTTAATAAAGTTTTGGTTGTTATAGTGTGACCTTAAGCGTTATTTTTGGTAAGTTTTGTTCTATTGGCGGCAACTGTTGCAAGACACGCTAGAGCTTCCAAATCTGGAGATGCGCACCAAGCTGTCAATATGCAAAGTATTAATTAAAGCTTAAATCGTACAAATTGACATAATAATAAATAAAGCACTAAAATATTCTAATTATTTTAATATAGAATTTTTTAACGACAAAATTTAAAAACAATTATATAAATTATATATAAAATTAAGTTATAATAAAACTTTTATCCACAGTATATTCTAATAATTTTACAGAATAAGAAAAATATTTTGCATACTTTTTTCGACTCTATAAATAAAATTACTACATTAGTATAAATAAATAAATATAAATAAAAAAATAGATTAATATATATGACATGTCCAATTAGCTTATTAAAAAAACTTATAACTTAATTTTTGCAAAATTTTCTTTTTTTTCGTACGTTGCTGTTTTTTCTTTTCTTGAAATTCCTCTAAACTCAAAGACGGTAATGCTTCGATTTTCTTTTCCAAATTAAAGTCTCTATACAAATATTTACAAAATATAGTATAAATTATAATATATTTATAATAATAAAGTTAAAATTATTTATAATATATTAGACATAGCTAGGTTCCGGGAGCGCATTTTCAGCGCAATCAGCGCATTCTAGCCTTGTTTTGTGTCTAATGAATGATAAAGATAGAATGACGTATTTACATTGAAAACACGCTTCTAGAACGTACTCATAGTACATCTCTAATTTAAAATAAGACAAAAGATATATGTATATTATTTATCTGAGAATGATTCCAAAAAACATACTCTGCTCGAAATCTTTTACGTGCAGTCCAAGGTCCATAATCTACTTGATCTTCGGCTCCTTCAGTTTCCGTATCCTCAGGTTTAGAAGCTTCCATTTTTCCTTCAGCACTAAACATATTTTCAATGTACAAATACCAATTATTTCTACATATAAAAAATTAATACATATTCTAAAAATCAGAAATAGGAATACATATGTTACCTCTCTACAAGATGTTCTAAATCTCCACGAGAACTGTTTCCTCCTTCACTGCTTAAGGAATCTGTTTTTTCACTAACATTTGAAGAAATAGAGTTTCTTCTTTCATTTGGACGTTCATCATGACTAGAACAATAAAAAATGAATACTTTTTAACATTATAGATAACAATTATAGACAACAAAATTAGACATTTCAACAATATTCCAAGATAAAAGTTTTAATCACCTACCCATGATTTCCAACTGTTCGTCTTCGTTTATTTTGTTGACCCGAGGAGCCGATGTTTTGCTCAGCAAGGAATTTCTGATAACGTAAACCTTTACACGTTCTTTCACTACGAAAATTTTCCTCTGGTTGTGTATGCGTTGTCACAAAAGAATTTATTGTATGTTTCTCATCTTCTATGATCTAAAATAAATTTTTAATTGATTACATATATTACATAGGCGCCAACAAATAATATAATAATAAATAATATGTATTATGTAATGTTTCATAAATTTATCATATTTATATATTTTCATAAGCAGATCGATTCTTACCGTTTCGTGTTGTTCGTTATTATTTGATTCAGTTCTTTTTCTTTTCTTTTCGCCAAAAAGATCTGTCTTACAATCTCTTTTTTGATCATCTTGGAAAGGTGATTCTGTATATCTCTTTTTGGGTGGTTTCGGTGGAATAGGATCATTTTCTGCAATACCATTAACGGTCTCCTCAGACGTCTCTAACTTTTGAGGTGTGAAGAGAGAACTAAGCCCTCCAATCTGCGATTCATCTGCTAATTTGCCTGGTTGAATTGATTGTCCGTCTCGTCTATCTGACTTTGTACAATCGGAAGACTCATATTCAGATTTGACACTATCCGTAGATTGCACACCGCTACTTGATTCCTGCTTCTTATTAGTAGGCCTAGTATTTAAAGTACGTAGCGGAGGTGCTGGTAATTTGTACCACTTAAAGTCAGGATTTGCATTTAGAAAAGCATCCTTGTACTGAAAAAGAAATTATACATACGTGGTATCTATATCCTGATACAGATCTAATAATAGTTGAACAAATTAATTTTATTTTTGATACCAAATTTACATTATTCTACAAATTAACCAACTCATTAATTTTTCATTTGATTATCCTTACTTCCTGTGCAAGATTTGTGTAGGAACGTTTCTGATCGGGATGAAGGGTTGCCCACCATTCACCCAAGACCCTGGTAACTGCCCTATTTTCCAAGTGTGGAAAGCCAGATCGCACTGAGCCGCGATGCCTTTTACAAAAAATTAGAAATGCATTCATGGGACGTCTTGCATGATGGGCTGGCTCCCTGGCTTCACGTGATTCCTACTCATTTACAATAAATTATGTTATAATATAGTCATTATATTATAATATAGTAGCCAAATATATAAAGCATAATAACTAAGTAATAGTCTCCCCAATTCATAAGAATATATAATAAATTCGTATGATTTTTTTATTTAAATAGATGTGATTTATAAACATGTATCCTGAGGGTCGATTCTGTATCTTGAAACCAGATGAAAATTTGAAACGTGAGCAAATTTACCAGGTGTTGACCAATGAAATTATGAATATTGTAGTACATTCGTTCACTTTGTAATTTTCACCTCGTTTTAAAATACAAAATCGATCCCCAGTTTGTCTGAATAAATATTATAATAAATGTAAGAATATTATGAGGAATATTAATAGATTGAGCGTATATTTCACAATAGCTTTTTAAATAAAATTTATTCTTTTATATAATTTATATATTTTATTCAAAAAAAAGAAAGAAAAAAAGGAAAGGAGAAAGAATAGATCACTGAAAAAAATTAATATTGCTTATTTTTAGTAACAATTATTAAAACAAAACATCAGTTTTCATACAATCTTGATTCATCTTTATTCATCTCTAGTTACAATAAAATATTTATGTCATATATAACATATTCTAAATCTGTATTGACCCCAGTGTGACTTCCAATATTCTTAGTATATTATTTGCACGATTAAACCAGGATATTCTAGGTAACACGTTTGACAAGTCCAGACAAACAACAAAAATACGCCGTTCCCACTCCCTGCATTAGGAAATATCTACGATGTGTATCATCAAGTTTTGCATCATAGCCATAAGTAGCCATGTTGCTGTGTTAGTGAAGCCTTAAAGTGACACAGCTTGTCAGTATATCTCTAGTCGCATTTCCGCCCGCTTAAACTTTTGCGCCCGACATTGATCCACATCTATCTAACCAATTTAGCCGACCAATTCGAACGAAAGGGAAAAAAAAAATAACAGAAGGAAAGACGAGCGGGGATCCATAGAATTAGATTCGATCTCTCATAATCGGCCGAAAATAAACGAGAAAGTACGCTGCGCGGAGCGTAAAAAAAGCCAAGTTCTGTGTGCACATAAAATAGATTATGCGTGCACAATTGCAACATATGTCTCAACAGTACGGGAGAGCGACGATCGTGTGAATGGAAGCACGAACGAGAAAGAACGGACGGGCGATCCTCGGCGGTCGGCCTGCCCAGTTTATCGTCCGCAATCGGAAGCGATGGCCGATCGCAAGTCTCCTTCTCTCGTGCAAATCATGCCGTGCGCCGTCGCGCTTATCCACGACGATGACACATGACGTTTCGTGACAGAGAACACTACGAAGCGTTCCGTACGCCGATGATGTAGCGTACGATAATTAACGCTTAGCTCAAAACACACGGCGATCGATTCCGGCTCGCGGCCGCAAACGAAGTTGGAAAGAGGCATATTATCGACAGGATTCAAAACGCGTTGACATAAAGGCGAGGCGAGGCGAGGCGAGGCGAGGTTCCTGACGATCGAAGGGGACTTCCGCAGGGCGAAAAACGAGATTCTTAGCGGACGGAAAGTGAATCGCAGACATTCGCTGCGAGATTTCTCAACGCAGCAAGGCCGTCTCTCTTTCTCTTTTTCTCTTTTGTCTCAATATTGATCGTCGATCTCGCAACGTTCTCGCCGAAGAGAACAGTCGCATATGTTGTACAAGTACTCGCGTGAAACAAAATCGCGACGCGACCGTCCCGGAGAAAAAAGCTCGTCTCTTTCTCGTGCTAGATTTCTCGCACGAAAGTCCACGAGGAATTCCCGCGGGGCGAAAAGGCGGAAAGAAAAAAGGAAAAAGACGGACGGAACTCGTTCGACGGGAATTCGTGCAGCGCTCGAGTTGTCACACGTTCAACGCAGCCCGAACACGGATTCTATTGTAGCTGTTAACGCTGTTAGCGGTGCTTCGATTGCACCGTCAGCGGCGTCAGCAAAGGTTCGCAAGAATTGCAAGGGTATCCCCCTCTGTTACGCGCGGATAAGAAAACACAAGAACGCGTAGCGCGACGACTCTCGATCGTCTCGTCTCTTTCGACTTATCGGACCGCGAACGCGGAGCACTCACGTCACCGTCGTGATCCTCGTCGAACATCTTGGGACGCGGACGCGAACGTCGCACCATTCGTGTTCGCACACTGACAGCTGCTCGGCTGACCGATGTAAATACGGCGACCGACTGCGCGATCTTTGAATGAAGACGTGCGATTATTCGGGAATGCGACGCGCGCGGGGGACGCTTATCCGCGCCCCACGTTATCCCGGGGATCGTCGCGCCGTTCCTCGTCGATGTGATGAATCACGGCAACGTCGTTTCCGTTCTCGTCCTCGGTCCTCCGTCTCACGTCCGTTCCTGTCGATATCACGCAATACGACGTTTCGTCGTCACTACAAGTGACTGCAGTCTCAAAGAGAAAAGAGAGGCGGATCGAAATCCGTGACTTTTGACACAAAAGCGACGCGCCGTGCACGCACGTTTAATCCCGTGGGATCGAGAGTGCGCGAGCCGCACGATGCCCGGCCGTGTCGTTTCCGCCGGTGGAAAAAAATCCGTGGCCATCCCCGAGCGGCGCTCGCTCACCTTACGCTGTTGCTCGTTGGCAGCCATTGCTGATTTTCACTTGACAATTCACTCAGCGGCGCATGATACAGACTCGGCAAGACACAGATAAAGGCCCGTTCAACACTGGCGTTCCCGAGTTGTTTCGAGCCGCTCAACTCGCTCGCACACCTTCCTCCTCCGCTCGCCTCAACTCGCCTCTTCCGTCCTCCTCGTGCCTTGCGCGAACGCTGCCCCTCCACTTCCCGTCTCGCTTCCACCGACGCGCACGCTTGATACACCGACACACGGGCCGCACTCGACCCACGTGAGAGAAAATTCTCGTAGGATACAGCTTGACGTCTATTCGCTCACTCGGCTCACTCTCCGTCCTCTCTTTCTCTCTCTTCCCTTCGCTCCGCGCTCGCGTTGCCATCGAGCTTCGCTTCCAATTCCGGACAACGTCCGGAAGACGGAAACTAATAAGAGCTCGCTTAAATGAAAGAGTCACTTCACGCAATGCAAATAGAATTACGAAGCTCCGGAGATTTTCTCTGACGGGCTCTTCAATGAAACGTCGCATGATCGCCGATGTTCAAGACCGCATCTCGTCACGATAAGTTCACGCGTTCTCGTCTTCCACCATCCAAAGTTCAAAGGCGAGCGATTTCAAGTTGGCGTTTTCGACGTAAAGTTTAGGAGATCGTCGTGATGGTCACGATCCTTCGAATTACCGCGCCACAGGTTGGCGCGCGCATGCGCGGTCGCGTTTCCAAGAAAATCCCTACGTTACACGTGCGCGCGCGCGCACGCCGTAACAGCTGATCGCTGTGTGCTGAGTCGACGCAACAGCTGTCGTTCGAATGATTGTCAAATTTAGAGCCGCCGGCACCGCCATCGCCGCTGCTCGCCCAGCGCTTGGTAAATTTAGTCAAGCGAGGGGCGGGGAGGGCATCAGAGAACGACGGATGAATCATTTTTTCAGATATTCCCAGAAAAAAGTAGAATACGAGAAATGTATAATAATATATATATATGTCTCTCCCCTCCTATCGTAATATTTGTTATCTACTGCGTTCTCGATGAATGCACATAACTGGAAATAGATACTCGGAAAATCCGCTTCGTGGACAAAAGATTAGACTTAAGATTAGACGAGTTTTAATTGCGTTGACGTGGAGGGCATTAATATAATAAATCGATATTCTTGCGTGACGAAAGAAATGTGTATATATATTTAAAATATACGTCACGGTCATGCATTATACGTGTCTCTTTATTGTCTCATCAGTCAGAATAAAGAGCAAGGTTCGAGATTAATGGAAGGCCGTTGCCGTAAAACGGTAGCTGTTGGGTGTAACATTTAAAAATATTAAGTTAAAAACATACCGTTCACAAAAAAAGATAATATTTTTAATGCAAGTCGACGATGATAATGACGATAGCAACGGGATAATTTGTCGTGCAATTTGTTTTTTTTTTTCTTTAAGTTCTGTTTCCTTAAAGTCTCGCGTTAAGAAAGAATGAGATATATTTGACACATTTTTTGCTGAAGTATCCAAAAATTTAAGATACAAATCTGAGAATAATTTTGTTGGATCATCAAAGTAATTATATAAGAATCTCAAACATGACTAGCAATACTGGAAAAAAATTTAACACTTGAATCTAGTGAACAGTTTCTATGTTACAATTACATTACAATTATACTACATTACAATTATTTCGATGGCCGAATAACAAAGTTATTTTCAGATCTGTATCCAACTGAGTTTTTAGATACTTCAGTTAGCGAAGTCATTCTTTCCGTGCAGATTTAAGATACATTTCAAGTCCGCACTTTCAGATCATCATATGTTTATGTTACGCACAACTCTGATTATGTCATGATAATGCACGTATTGAAATAAAGAAATCTTTGATAATCACACAAATGAAACGGCAACTTTTATCTTCCGTGTATTATTTCAGCACGCTGCAACTATAAATAAAAAGATATCATTTTATGATTCTCATCTATACGTACACATACACAATGTGCGACCATGAAACAAAAAATATAATATGCCACGTATTTTTTTTAAACATATCTTTCTTCGAATGCGACATACAATTTCCTCAGTATGTATTTACATTCTGTTTGCCACATATGTATAGATAGTAAGGCACAAACTATAAAAGCAAACATTTAAGTTTGTTTCTACTCTCGCGATTACGCTCATGTGCTCGTTCGATTGTCATTCTCGATAATACGCTTGTATGTACATATACTTCCATTGTTGATAATATTTATTTCGTAATATTTATAATTTTATTCTTGTTTTTTTTCTTGTTTTAAACTGAAACAATTACACGTGCAAGCATAAGGCAAAAGAATATTTTTTCGACAGCAAGAAATGATTTTTTGTTGAAAATATTTAATACAAAATAACATTTAGTGCAAACATAAATTTTTATGGTTCTTCTCTCATTTCTTTTTGTTTCTTGTAATATTATATTAGGTCTGTTCTTTATCACTGCACTCTTCGAACTGGTGCACACACTGCAATAAGTTGAAGTGAAATAAATATATATAATTTTTGTTTTGCAAGAAACAAAAGAAATGAGAGAGAAATCATAAAAATTTATGTTTGCACTAAATGTTATTTTGCATTAAATATTTTCAACAAAAAATCATTTCTTGTTACAACTTATTACACCGTGTGCACTAGTAGTTCAGAAAGTGCAGCGATAAAAACAGACCTATTACATATTGTTTGGCGGAATAATATCAATATTTATCGAAATGTCATTGAAATGTATAAGCAAACGATAGTCGGTAACGTAGGAATAATAATAATTCTCTGAGTATAATAATTATTCTTTTGGAGAATAAGTAGTTATTTACATTACCGACTGCAACATATTTATCGAAAGATGATATGTTGTGTGTCGATAATGTAAATAGCTGCTCCAATGCATCGGTCGCGCCTGGAATTGCTCGCTTTTTGTGGCGCTCCTCGCGGGAAAAATGAGAACTCTGGATTCTCGAATAATAACATCCGTTTCGCGGGTTCGACAGTCGAGTGTGTACGATTTGCGATGTAGTGAGGATCAAATGATCTTAATAAATATCGGGATTTCGTCATTATCCGTGTTTTGCCGTAGATTTGCGTCCGGATTGGATTTAGGTACGTATAGCCCGAGGAAACAAGGATTTTCTCTCCATGCATCCAAGTATAAATTGCGAAGTCTTTTTTGAAATCTACTACCCTTGGAAAGCTATTTTCTCGGAGATTTCGTGATGTCAATAGTTATTCGATCGCTTTATTACCATGAATCGTTATCTCTAGTCTATTTTATTTATTTAAAGAAACGCACGACGCTAAAGGCCATTACACGTACAAAATTTTTAGTTGTAATTGTAAGGTTTTATGTAAGGCCTTCTACAATAAGCCATTAATCATAAATCAGAAGTCAGAAGCTAAAAATTGACTGTGATTGATCAATTTTTAGCTTCTAACTTCTGATTTATGACTAATAGTTTATTGTAGAAGGCCCATTAAACAAATCGACCGATCATAATCAAAATTGCGACACGCTTTAAAACGCTCGACTGATTGGCTGATTTGCTTACGTTCTTACGACTCGACTAAAATTTTTGTACGTATGATGGCCTTAACGTATGTATGTGCAAAATAGATAGTTTATTTGACATATTATTCTTATAGACTGCACATTTTAGCGGAATTGTGCCATCCTGGCGGAATATGTTGACGAAACCATAATAGCATTGTGAACTCCGCAATCCTAAGATTTTGACGATGCGGTGAGTCGTGCAATTTTAAAATAATATAATTGACAAGAATTTTTTATTAAAATTATATTTTGGAATGTTTACTTCTTTATTGACAATATCCTATAATGGCAAAAATTTTTTGTGGAGTAGAAAAGTATATACATTTTTAGATTACTTAATTAATTAATTACATTTATGACATTATGTCGATATCAATAAAAACGGGAATAAATTTAAATCTTTTTATATTTCTAATAGTTTGTGATATGATTATCTATATATCTATTTATCTATGTATAGATACCATCTTTTCATTTCTCAAAAAAGGCAATTTAATATATGTATATTACATTATATATATTTAATATATACATATGTATAATATTTTTTTTATATTATGATACTTTTTTATATATATTAACAAGACAATTTTTTATATTACATAGAAATAAATTGCTCCCATTTATCATTTTATAAATTCAGGACAAATTAAAATATAAATTAATTACATGTAAAGCGAGAAAGAGAGAGAGAAGAGGAGGAGAGTTACAAAAATAAAAATATCTAAAATATTTGTAACATATCTAATATATTCGTGATTACTGTAAATTTGTCATTCTTTCATTAATATTATCTATGTGTGTATTTATCTATACACATAGGTAAATACACACATAGATAACATTAATCTATATACATAGATAGTTAATTTTTTATTTATTGTTAACAATTGAAGGAAAACTAATATATATCACATTATATATGAAATATGCTATATATATATATCTGTCATATTATATTTTATTTTATTACGTCAATTTTATATATTGTGTAAAAATAAATTGCTTCCATCCATTATTTCATAAATCCAGATAAATTAAAATATAAATTAATTGAAAATGTTGCTATAAAAATAAATCTAAAATATTAAATTTGTAATTAATATATTTATGATTATATTATTATAAATTTATGATATTTCCACGTGTTGTATCTATTATTTCTCAAACTTTTTCAACGATCTGATTTAGACATCAAATTCGCATCTATAATACAAGTTTCATGTCTTCCCTGGAATATTGCAGAATTTAATTTACGTGTTGCTCTTTGTACCGTTTATCTCGCACTCTTCTCTCTTGTTCTCCCCTGTACGATGTAAACTCATATAAAAGTCAATCTGTGGCAGTTGTTATCTCATAGCGATCGTCGAGTGTTCTACCTTTGATCCGGTTGAATGATTTTTCGGTCTTTGTTATGTGAACCACTCGAATAAGGTTCTCCTACTGTATCGGATTTCTTTAAGTTCGCCTGAAATATCCATAATATTTTATGCATAATAATCTTTGCTATCTACTTATATTTCTTTTTATAAGAG